TAACATCTTACATCATTTAAATTCGCGCCAATTACTTAGTACAAAAGCATATTAAGCGATAAAAGATAACAATTAAACGTAGAAAATTGTGAACAGCATTTAATTGTCAATTGGTACAATAATAATAATAAATCTGATTGTAAAACTAAATAGTTTTTACCATAATGTTTAAATATAGGTTAGCTAATAAGTATATAGATATAAACCACTAATTTTTTATTAGCTAAAGTTAATAAATACTCCTCATTAAGTATTATTATTTTTATGTATAAAAACTGTAAACATAATGTTGTAATTTTTTCGTTGTTTGAATATTCTTTCCTTGATTTTCAGTAAACAATATGTGTAAAAAAAGGGCACAAGAGTACATAGATAGTAAAAAAAAGCATATATTTGACATATTACTTGGAAAAACAAGACATATTTATGCGCGTAACAATGTGTGTGTGCCAATATCGAAGTTATACCTTATAATATTATATACATATATATATATATATATATATATATATATATATATATATATATATATATATATATATATATATATATATATATATATATATATATAACTATATAACTATATATATAATAAAACTACATGCTTCATTCGAAAAATGCGTTTTTTATTAAATACGGATTAGTTTTGTTTGTTTTAAGATGATACAAAAGTTTGGGTCTTTTATTTATCGATTGAGGCAGTACGAAGTCTGTCGGGTAATAATAATAATTAGTCCTAATTAGTTAACATATAAAAAGTTACAGAGTGTTGTGCTAGCCCTAAAATAATATTAACAATAATAATATTAATAAAATAAAAATTATTTGTTACATTTTTTTTCAAAATTACATTTCATAAATAATCAAAAGTTTTGAGAAAATCATAAACACAAAAGTTGTAAAGATTGTTAGAATGCACAATTTAAAACTATTAATACGAATAAAAAATAATAAAAAAAGTCCTTTATTAATTACATTTTTTCCAAAATTATTTATTTAACAGTTCAACTTACAGGCTGATCAAAATAACAAGTTGCAATTTACTTAATAAAGTAACTTAAAAACTAGTTTAAAAAATTAAGTACGACGGAGATCAGAGACCCAGGAGATCCATTAGTTAAAATAGATCTACAACATTCGTAGCATTCTGTAGTAATTTTGCTAACAATGCTTTTGAATTACTGAAGATATCTATTTTATTTTGGTATTGATGGTAAGGTATTCCAGGTGTATCTTTGACGGTAGAGCCTTTTAAGAGGATTTTATTTGGGACACTTAAGTATACCGAACTCAATGTTGCGTTATCAAACGTCAAAGTTTATTTATTATTTTAAAAAGATACGTTCCAAGTTGTTGACATAAATATCAACTTCTCTTTTTATCATTGACCAAATTAAGGAATTTCTTTTTAGTTTTTTCCATCCTCTATATATATATTTAGTATAAAAATAAAACCAAATTATGCTAATGCATTGAAGCTTCAACTGTACTATAATAAAGAATTTTAAGAATTTTTTTCCGATTTGAATTTTTTTTCATTTCTAATTACGAACGCAAGATATATTCCAATCTTATTATTTTCAAAATATGTTACTTTCGCATCAAATATAACGCCAAAGTCATCTTTTGTGGTAACTGATTTTATGGTAACTTTATTCAATTTATATTAAAAGAAAAGCGGATTTGTTTGACCACAAAACCTCACAAATTATTTTTTGACTTCTTTAACATATTATTAACATCTTCTTGCATCGACGTACAATTATTTTCATTCACCATTTTCTGCATAGCATGCAGCAAGATATTTGGATGCTTAATATTTTGTTCAATATCAAACGTAACAAGATTACTTTCAAAAAATCGTCGCTGAGCGGGACAAGTTCGTAGCGCGTAGCGCGAAACAGCTTAGCGGTTTCGTGTGGTAAAAGGACGCAATGTTTTTCTATCGTGCTCCTGCGGACCACTATCGAACTTTCGAAAAATATCTATAATTATATTGTGTATACACCCTGTACAAAGTGTCCTTCACATCTCGTCGAACTTCAAAGTTACAGTAAATATTAAAATTTGCACAAATAATAGCGTTGTCGAATGATATTTTTTCAAATATCTCGCGCCCTGTATAATTGACGAATCCTGAAACTCTCTCTCGACACAGTTTACGATACTGTTCAAATTAACTTAAATCAAATTAAATAGTTTACTCAGAAAAACGGAAATTTTTAGGAACTTTTGGATATTTTGCCCATAAACGACACACTCTGTACATGATTCAAACAATAGAGGTTATAGCCCTGGATCTTCCGCGTTTCCTGGTCGAAGAATTTTTGGAAAATAGTAAATGGTTTTCGAGAAAATAAGTTTTTTCTGAAACCATGCAGTGCGCCGTAATAATCAATGACGTCATCGCGTCTTGACAGCCCCCGAAATAGCGATTTCAAACCGCAAATACAAAAACTGTAGTAGCCATATTTTTTACGATTTTTTATTTGCGACTAATAATTTACTCTGTAAAAGAAAAATTTTCTAGATCTTTTAGATTTTTACCTATAATTTGAAAACCCTGTATATAATCGAAAAGTGCCTTAAATAAATTTTATTGCACTGGATCTTCCGCGTCTGCTGGCTAAAGAATTTTGCCGATCAGGTGAACGATTATGAAAGAAAACATATTTTTCTGGAGGCAAGAATTACCAAAAAAAAAATTCAAAAATTTTTAAAAAATATTTCTGAAAATTTGATTGTAAATTTCAATTTCTACCGTTTAAATGTGGACACTGGTATTTACTTCTCTGCTAAATTTAGAGTTGATACCTGCAACTTTAGGACACTTAACACATTTCTCATTTAGCACCGAATATGAGGAACACCCTGTGCAATAGGTGAAAACCTTAAATACAAAAGTTTTTGCTTTCTATACGGGCTATATCGCAATATAAAAGAAAGTGAGATCTCATTCACAGTCTTTCAGTTATAACCAATTTTCAATAATAGCGGACCCATTTTTCAGTTTTTTTGAATTTGCGGCGCACCCTGCATATTTTAGAAAAATTGTGCAGAATAAAAGTTTATGGAACCGTATCTTCTGCGTCATTCGGTTCAAGAATTTTTTTGGTCTCGTAAACGGTTACCGAGATATAAAATTTTTATACCAACGTAGATACTTTCGAAAAATTCGATTTCATCGATTTTCTAAAGTAACAAGAAATGGATCAGAATTATTATTTTTAACTCATAGTGCATTCTATTTGATAAATAAGACTCCAATAAAAGGCATCAGTTCTTAGATAAGGAGACCTGAAATAGTGTTCATATTCTAGTCATATGACAAATCCTGTTAAACGGCTTTTCAAAATCTGCATAGTATCCAACTGCACCATAAATGCCATTTGTAACAAATGCTGCAAAATCTATAAGATTTCCCAAAGATTTCCTTTACGTGTGCGCTTAATCTAGCAGTTAAAACATAATTGCTATATTAGATAAAAGAGTTATAGGGCGACAATTTGTTAGCTGAAAACGTCAGACTCTCTGTCGTCTCCCCATGTTTATAAGTCATCAGATCAGATCAGCATTCACATAGACTTTGACAAATGGAATCTAAATTTCCAAAGCTTAAGATAATTTATGAGAAAGATTTTAAAAACAATTTTAATGTATTTCATATTAATTTTGAAGTTATTTCTGAAAAGATTGACCAGTTATCTTTAATAATATCCATTCGACGTGGTGTATCTTCAGGAGCACTTTCCAAGACGGAACTTTTTAGAACAGATTTATATACTGCAATTTAAACTGACTGCAGATCGGTGAGACAAAGGGGTGGTATGTGAAGCTTTACAAAAAATAGTATCAAATTCAAACTCTTGGATTTTGATAAATTTACAATAGATTTAAGACAAAAACTGTAATAATTTTGAGTGACTTTAATTTCCATTTCAATCAACCATCAATCAGAACTTTTACATAACATAAACTTTTGGACATAATAAGGCTCTTTTGGAATTAAACACATCATTTTCAAACAAAAGCTGTTTTAAGTCTGACATTGTTTTTTTTTTTTTTTTTATATGATCACAGCGGTTAGTTTGTAATAGTAGATAGGTTGCCAATGAATTATCAAATAGACTGCCAACAGCCCCGATCTGAATCCTTGCTACATTTTTGTGGGGATACTTAAAAGAATGATTTAATATCGTTTTACAAGATCTAAACAGAGTGATTTTATCACCGCTTGTATTAATAGGAAACGTATATGCATATAGAAAATAATGGAGGTTATGTGGAAAGTGTTTAGCATTACTTATTGATATTTTTATTGCTTGAATAATATAATTTTATTATTTGGCGTTTTTCTTAAGGTATTTAACTTAAGATATTTAACTGACGCTGCAGATCTTCAGTTTTGATTAGTTGTCAAAAGTAGAACATTATTAAAACAATTGCAAACATAGATAATATGGTTCCTATTAAGGCAGACTTGACCATTTCATACTATTGTCCAGCAATCCAAGGATAATTATACTCTAACTGAAATATCTCAAAAACGGCTAAATGAAATGTCAATGAACCATATATTTTTCAAATCAGAAAAAAAGATCTACGATTTAAGATAATCATATATAGAGCATTCCATTTTTAAAAAATGGTGTTTTGGCAGCGTGCGATTTTCCTAACATTTGCATAACATAATAGAGCAAAAATCTTGAAACTTTTGTATTTAATTTTTTTTTTTATCGTTCAACCCTGTAGGTGGGTGTCGAAATATAATGAATAACCCTGTACAATAGACGGCCAAAAACCGCTCTAACAAAGCAATGAAAGAATATCTGCTTGCTCACTTCTTTTATTCGGTAATTTTAATTTCAACAAAAATTCAAGTTTTTCTTTTTTTTATGCTAATATTTATTTTAATAATTCTGTATTCGTATGTTGCCTTTTTCTTTGCAATAAGATAAAAGTCGTAAGATACATGGGTAATAAAACTTATAATCATATTTATTTGGATGGGTTTATTTTTAATTAAAATATAGAACTACATAGAAATTAATGTCAAATTTTGTGTTGACCAGCGAATTATTTGCTTTTTTTTTGTAGTTTGGACCTTATTTTAACCAATATTGCTAATTACTGTCTGGTGCTTTATTTTCCGCTCCAAAAAAGGGTATTCCCCTGTTCATATTTCAATTGTAGCAGAGCCTTGTTAACAATATTTAGAAGCAAAAAAAAGGTAAATATTGGAAAAGTTAAAAAAATGAAATACGACATAATTTAAGTTGTAAGATTTTTTCGAAAAAATTATAGTATTTATTTAGGAAAATATAAACTCAATTATCCAAATACATTCGTTTATTTTACTGCACACTTTAGCATAAAATGTGAATTAAAAAAAAAATCAAAATTCAAAATTCAATCGTGCAAGTTTGAAAACTAGTGTTTTATGGGAAAATTTAAATGCATTGCATTATCATTAAATAAGAACTTGAATAATTGAAGAAAATAAGGAGGACCATTAAAAAAAGTATGTTTTTGTCGTCACGCTTTTTAAGTGACGCTGTATGCTTTAAAATAGCTTCAAATTGTGCATCCAACAAATGTTTTATTTTTGTATCGCGCATATTTTCATTTGTTTGTAGGCCTTTTTGCGAATGTACCTTCCTTAGGGGTCAACATTGTTGTGAATTTGATAAATTGAATAAATTATTAATATAATTATTATTATTGTTAATTGACAGTTTAAAAATTTTGTTCCAAAAATAAAAAATCAGGACCTAATTTCGCTCTTTCAGAACACTTAATTAACAATTAATAGTAAGCTCCCATCTTGGCCTCGTTTTTCCGAATGAAGCAATTCTTAAACTTATGGCCGATAAGGTCCAATTTGGAATCAGCCAGCAGTAAGTTTCCCCTCACGCAGGAAAAACTGTCCCCCTCTATAATTCCTAACTCGGAGTTGAGTTTTTTCTTGAACACGGTCAACTTGTTCCGGATATCTGAGTTTAAGCTTTCGGAACAAAACCTCTCGCTTTCGGACGACAAGCATTTTTCCATTTTTTCTTTTGTAAATTGCGCGAGGACGATCAACGTTTGGAGCTCCGCATTTAAGCGGGCCACTGCCACAGATGAGTCGCATTGTTCCACCCCTTTCAACTCCAGATTGCTCAACGAGTCGTGAAGTGCCTTAAGACAGTCGTTGATTTTCACGCCCGTTTTGTCTACTTCGAATTTGGCCAAATTCTCGAGTTGTTGTAATTGCGTCACCTGTCTATCTAGTGAACTTTGGGCAACCTCCACGACGTAATCGATCCTCTCTTTTGCAGAAGCCAGCTTGACCCTGGCGTCTCTCACGGTCAAGAAAACTTTGTCTTCTAACTGAACCAGGTACTCGGTTGGGCTTTTGACAGGTGTCGGTTTCAAATTGCCGGGCTGAAAAGGTATAAAGGTATGGTCTGTTCATAGATATAAGAAAGTGACCAATTGCTTTTGAATGGGATTATCCAAGGGTGGTCATTAACATACAATGCAACAAGATTATTACCTAAAGTTTCGGAATTTAAATTCAGGCAAAATTGTGGTCCGTAATAGAAAATAATTTTATACCTTCCTGTGTTTAATATTCTTTGGTTTGGTATACTACTTAGTTTAAGTTCATTAGTAATCATTCTTATTTCGTGTGTAATACAGCGTGTGTTAAATCGTGTGCGAATTATGCAAAATATGTGCGTGTCTAGTGTAGAAAACACTATTCTATTGAGATTAAGGAAGTTATAAACAATGTTTATTTTGCCTCTCATTGAACGTGGTGCCAGCAAGCAAGCATCTTTAGAAAAAACGGCCACATTGACGAAAATTCCAACATCAACTGTATGGAAAATTGTGAATAATCCCATTTCAGCTAGGAAAAAAAGAAGCGATGCTATCATTTTCTCGAGTGTAGATGAAAGTGATCAAGATATAATACGGCATAAAATTGACTAGTCATACGAGTAACAAAGCGTGCCATATTAGATATCTTAATTAGGACGCTTGAAAAAGGTGAAACCCATGTTAAATGTGACAGAACTACCTTATGGAAGTGTATTCAACACATGGGTTTTAGATTTTAAAAAATTGACAAAAGGCAAGTTTTAATGGAATCTTTTAGAATTCGGAAATGACGACTGGAATATCTAGAAAAAATTAGGATTTACAGAGAACAACAAAGGCCAATTATTTACTTAGATGAAACCTGGTTCAACACAATAACTATTTTGCATGCTGGCTCTAAAGATGGTTGGCTCCAAATGGACTTTTTCTGTTTGCGAAAAATATTAAAGATTCTTTTCTGGATTACCATAAAGACACCACCGCTGTTTTAGTTGAAAGTAGATTATACCAAAAAGCAATTAATTGAGGTTCTACAAAGCTTGAACCTACAAAAGGAATACGTCTGTTATAATTATGCAAAAAATCTAGGGCATACAGTTTTAAGGCTTCCACCTTACCACTGTATATTTAATCCCAGTGAACATGTTTGGCACCAACTGAAATCTGCCATTCGTCGTAACAATGTTTTTCCCCATGTTAACTCCAATGCCCTCAAAGTTATAGAAACCGAAGTTTTTAACATCCCTGCACAAAATTGGGCAAATTCTGTTAAACATATATAAAAAGCATATTGTATATCCATATTACAAATAATATAGAACAAATAACAATTAGAACAGGCGATAGTGATACTTATATATTATGTGAATAATTTTAAGTAATTTAAGTAGATAATAAAAAAAAATTGTAATTTTATTTTAAATTTAAACATAAATACATACATAAATAAATAAATATTGTTTAGTATCTTTTCTAACAAAACCCCAAATTATTAAATTCTAAGCAAAGTACGGACCTGTTTGGCCATATTTCATTCTTACAGCTTGCCCGGGTCTTTCTTTAATTCGTATCAGTTAGTCACTTTCTTATATCTATCTATCTACTTTAAATGTATCACCAATCAGGGATTTCAAATAACTTTAGGAACTAGTTTCGTAAGGAAACACAACTACGTCTGTGATCTAGTTTTGGTTAGTTTAGACTACAGCGTAGTAGTAGTTTTTTTTTGCAAAATATATCGACAAAACTACTCGGAACGTCAAAAAAAAAATATCGTTAAAGTCTGAACCCTTAACATTAATGGAAATAGGTCTAGTATTCATATGTGTCGCAGAGTGTAACGGAGCATTATTTCAAAGGTGCTTTTTATATAATTAAACAATAAATTACCAGCAGATTTTCTAATGGATTTACTCTTACTTAATCACAAATACTGAAGTTTCTGACTAAGGACTAATTCTTGTTTTTCGGAATTTTGAGAATTGGAAAGTGGTCAATCTGGGTTTCAAGTTACATTTCTTTAGAACTTTTGATATGTGGTCAGTGATGTTTTGAACGTAAGGAAGGGCAAGTGTGGGATTGCTTTCGGGCGCATTGCAATTGGAAGGTTGTGGTGAAGTGCATTTTGTGATGGAACGCTTAATATCTTTAACGTGGAAATTATTAGATAGAAGAGCAGAGGTATAGTTCAGTGACTCGAGATAGTTTTACGACTCTGTAAAGAAGAGAGTCGATAACTGATGATTTTTGGGCCAGACGGTGATGTGACAATGCATTAAGGTATCGGCTTGGTGTGTAGGTTTTCTGTAATCAGAGTGAGAGAGGTTTCTAATTCAATGGTAAAACGTATGTTTAGGTGTAGAGTTTAAATAGCTAAAAATATCTAGGAGGAATTCTTGGCCTGTAACCAATATGGTAATCAGTCATCCGAGACGGTGTTTATGCTCGTCATTTAGCTCCGCCCCCCTCAAATAATATATAAGCAGGTACAGAGTAAAATGCGAGCCAGTTTCAGTCAAGCTCTGGAGAAGCCAACAGGATGATTGGCGAAACGTCAGCAAGTTCGACTCAGCAATAACCCACGCAGGAGGAATTCTGAAGTTTTGTAAAAAGTATTACAATAGCCTGTGAAAAAAATCGTTTAGTTCTCTCAAATTTTCTATCCTCTTTTCTGTCGATGTTATTTGTATTGTGAGAGTATCAGGAATAGGGACTTTAGTGAAGAGGGTTCTAAGTCGAAATTAACCAAAAAATATCCTGTGGATCTAATGTAAAACTTTTTAATGGTATGTAATGAAAGGAACAAAGGAGTACAAACCTATGAGCTGTCCCTGTAAAATGTAAAATGTAAACATAGGAGCTAGATATTTTGATAGAGAATATGTTGGAGAACCAATGGTGCTGGCAATCCTGGTTTGTGAATCTTAAGGACTCTGTAGAGTTATAGGAGGCCCCAGATTTTTTCAAGGATTTTAATAGAGAATAAAAACAGATTTAAGGTGCGGTTCAGTTCAGGAGGAACCTAAAATATTTATAAAGGAATGTTTGTTTCTTTGTTTTCTTGGTATAAAAGGGTTTATCAGCGCCCTTTGGGTGATACTTGGCCTATTATCCTATTCTATTTTTGACGCTAATATAATAATAACACGTTAATTACCTTAATTGAGATTTTGTTTCTAGACTCCGACAGTCCCCAATTCTTACCTGAAATAGTATCGCACCGATAACAGAGATACACAAAATTCGCGTTAGCTTCGACATAACGACCGTCTAAATAAACTCAACTTTCGGGCGAACGCATCGAATACGAAAACAAAAACGGATTGTCACGATAACGAAGGTAAACAATCGCTTTTGTTAAAATGATCCACAAAGTAAATTTTACTGCTAGGCGGAACGCCTAATATCTGCAACATACCGCAATGAGTCTAAAACAACTATTGAAGTTTTAAAAATATTCGCAGACGCAGCCTCGTTCCGTACAAATACGTCTATGGCGAACTTTAGTGGAATAGTTATGACTTTTTCGCTATTCACAGTAATCCACTAACTGTCAATTTTCTTAACGTTCATTAGAAATGATCGACTATTTCAGCGCAAAGCATTGCGCAGCTGCTTTAGTAACGTGACTTATCATTTAAAGGCGCTTTTAATTGTGTTCCAGAATAGGTGACACACATTTTCTGAATTATTGATATTATTTAGAATTAATTAGCATTTGATGTTTGAAATCTCGGTGTTTGTTGCTTTGGAACCGTTTTTATGTACAGGGTGAGTCAACTTCAATTTAAACTTATTTTAAATATATATGGGGTGGCTTGAAAAAGCGTGACGAATACAACACACATTTTTTTAAAATCAAACAATATATTTTAAAATGCTGCGAATTTTCTATTAACAATCATGCCTAAATTAACCTACCAGTATTTTATTTTTTCTAAAAATTTTAATGTTGGAGCGCTCATATTCGAAGTTAACGTTATTCGAAAATTACGTAAAAGATACACGGAATCCTCCAAACCTGCAACAAAACCAAAATTAACAAACAAATAATATTTATAATATTTATGTTAATTAGGTCGTCACTGAACTGGTTAAATCGACAATGTTTTCATGAAACATAAAATATCCATCTAAAACAAAATATCTAGTTTTTAGTTACCAATTAGTGTCTTTCAGGAAAAGAAATATTAAAGGACTTTTTTTTAATTTTACAGTTTTAATGGAATATCACAACATTTTTTGTGATATTTTTTGTGAAATTATGATTTGCTACAATTAATCTTTGTAAAATGTAGCCAATAAAAAAAAACTAAACTAAACTAATATCAGAAACGAATGATCCACCTTCAAAAACATTGGCGTTATTGCATTTTTTTTTTGCATGTGTGGGAACTAGCAATTTTTTATAAAAAATAAAATATTGCAAGGCGAATTCAAAATAAAATTTAAATATTCCTTTAAAAAAACGTGTTTTATTGGTCATACATTTTGGGCCACCCTGTATACTTAAAAATCTTTACAACATTTGAAACCAATGACTGTACTATTTGTATGTCATTTAATAAGATAAAAAAAAATGAAGTACCTACTAACACGTCATTAACCTTTAAATTTCGCAAATTATGATGATATACTGATCATGGACACGCTGCATATCTATAAGCAGAACCATTCAATATTTCGTTTTCTAAACCACTCTATATACGCCCTTATTTTATCACTGTGGACGAGAAAATTCGGGTACGTCTTTGTCTTTTTGTAACGTGTGTTTATTTTCAGATAAAGACTTATAAAAACAACGTAACAATTACACGAAAATGCAGACGAAAAATATTAACTTGGACAGGGCATCACAAGAAGAGGATGGAGTACTGAGCTCCGTTCCTGGGGTAAGAGCTTCCTTAGTTCGTATAAGAGCATATCTTTCAGTTTTAAAAGTTTTAAATTTTCTAAATATGTTATTCTAAGCATTCTAAACAAACAGCGATACTAAAGAAATAATTGGATGTTAATGTCCTTTTTGACGAAACTTTTCTAGAAAATTGAAGGCAAGTGCCTTTGCAGTATAGAGATACGAAGTCGGTAATAGATGGTGTCCAAATAACATGTTATAAATGAAATTAAAAGAAAAAATTTTAAACTATTTTTAAATATACAGAGTGATTACCTGAGAATTTAAACATATATACTTTTAAATGGAACACCATGTATATTATGGCAATAATAGATACTCCCTTTTAGATTAGATTAGATTAGATTTATTCATTAACCACTTTTCATACATAAAATGTATACCTTGTGACAAATAAAACGATCGATCCACTATACGATGTCGAAACCCATATTTTCTTGAACTCTTCTGAAGATTTAAAATATTATCATTTTGTTGACACAGGGTGTCCCAAAACTGCCCCTGCCGACATTAGCTTTGTTATTTTAAAGGCAACACCCTATATATTTCGCCATTTTTTGAATCCTTGGTTAAAATAAAGGTCACTTTCTTAAGAGATTCCTATTCAAATATTTTTTATATTTGGATAGTCCCATATGAAGGTTGTCCCAAATAGGTGGTGCCGTTTTGTCGAATAAGTATGATGATCGGAATTAGCTGCAAAGTATTCTTTCCCTCTGTGTTTAGAAAATAAAGTTGACAATGATATCTATAACCTATATTGGTAACGACACGAATGGCTTTCTTCTGAATTCTAAACGTCTGAGCAGTAGGTGAGGGGTAACCGTCGCCCCATAACATAAGTCGTAGTACAAAAACCAGTTGCTGGAGAGTTCCGAAATATGGTGTTTCCAATTATCACCAATCCCAATACCAAGCAATCTAATGGATTGCACATTATTTGAGACGCATTTGAAGGAAAACATAATTATTTGAGTTTATACTCAATCACCCTGATTTTTTCGTCAAAAATGCCAATTTAATACCATATATTTGTGACAGCTGTAATTTCTTTATGACAACAACTTTATAAATACGGTCATACTTGTCAAAATGAAAAATATTAATTATTGTCCAAAAATAAAATAGAACACCCTGTAATTAACTACTGGTATGAATGCTCTTTCAATTTTATTAGCCATTCCCTATAGCTCAGTATTTTTTGAGGATTACACATTTCTACCAACAAAATACTAAAATTTTTTAAATCGTGCGAAAATATCACAAAAGATTGAGAACGAAATAAATATTACCTGAGCGTGAAAAGCCTACAAAGACGAATTAAGCATAATATTTTCCGATAATTGTATTCGTTACTTGTTAATACAAAATGTAAGTATCGGAGTTTTGTTCTTAAACATGTGTATGCCTGAAAAGAAATTTAGTTTATAAAGAAGGCTTAATAAATTTGAAAGGCAAGGCTTCTTCAGAGCCTATATATATATATATATATATATATATATATATATATATATATATATATATATATATATATATATATATATATATATATATATATATATATATATATATATATATATATATATATATATATATATATATATATATATATATATATATATATAATGATGACACTATATTCCGGGATATCATCCGTTCGCTCGTTGAACTCCGACTGGAATCCTGCAGACGTTTCGCCAAAATCTCACTTGGCATCTTCAATGCTCGCGCTCCGAAAACACTTCGAACACTCGAAGTGTTATAGTGTTAGTGTATAGTGTCATCACATTTTTCCAGCCGTGAATCAATACGTGAGAATATATATATATATATATATATATATATATATATATATATATATATATATATATATATATATATATATATATATATATATATATATTTATATATATATATATATATATATATATATATATATATATATATATATATATATATATATTTGGATAAATTGAATTTATTGATGCTTCAGTGGATTTTCACGCGTATCTTTTATTCCTTCTCACTATTCTGTAAACGCTATCACTCTATCACTGATCACTAAATAAACGTTATAATTATTAGTTTTGTTTCGCAGAAGAATCTGGTGTTAAGTCAAAGTGGCAATATCCACGAACTCCCCGACGTCACGAAGCTGTTTGTTGTGCCACCGTTACCGCCTAGATCTGCTGTCATCTTTACTGCTGCGAAATTTGCAGGTAACAGGAATTTATTTAAATAATTAATCGAAATCCATAAAGAGTATTCGCTATTGGCTGCAATACAAATACAACGAAAAAGGAAAAAAAACATTGGCAAATTAATGTCATTTGCATTTTAAAACAAATTTGACTAAAGTTTAATACATCTATATCACTACGGTGCTTGATATAAACCCTGACCATTCTGACTACAGAGGAATTTTGACTTGAGTTTGTTAACAAAATTTAAAATAACTAATACATAATTTAATATAGCCAAAATATCTCGAACACCCTGTACAATATGTGAAAACGTTAAATAAAAAAGTTTTTCGCAAATTGCCGGCTCACTCTGTACATTTTCAAAAAATGAAAAAATATTTCCCGACGATTTATTGCATTAGTAGGTACTGCCTTTTATAGTCAACCACCTTATTATAGGGTTGTTATTATCTTCTATACTGAGTGGTTTGCAAATGTGTGTACCTCAAAAAATACTAAATTATAAGGTATAGGGAGGGAATGCTTATAAATTTGAAAGAACATTAATAGGAGTAACCCACTATAAATGATTCGAACCAGCTTCAATGCAAATGGCGTTAAGAATATAAAGTGTTAAATACAAAGTAGTTTTGACGAAAATATGACCATAAATCCGAAAACACTAAAGGTGGACCATAAAAACCCTTCATCGTTTGCTTGAGTATAGAAGGGAGTATCTACTAATGCATTAATATAGAGGATATTCCCTTCAAAAAAATGTAATATTGATTTTCCACACATTTATACATCACCCTGTACATTTGAAAATAATTTCAAGACGTTTCTATTAGCCTTATCTATAATTTTTGTATTTACCTTTTTTTTTTCAAATAGAAATATTATATTATTTGCACACCTTGTAGAGAACAAATAATTTAAATGGAAAGGTTCGTTTGTTGATCGACTGTTTATCTCGCCGCCTAGCGCATCCGCCAAATCGGAGGTCACGGAAATGCCTTTCCGAAAGGATTTACGAATGCTGCCGACCGCGTCGTCGGCCTCGCGACCTGTTGTTAAACGCCAGGTGCGATGTTCAACTGTTTCACGGCAGTATGGTGCGTCTTTGTTGAATACGGTTAGGCATGTGCTCGATTGAGGGGCACCTTATTTGAGTTTTGATTGAAAAGATCAGTAGTTTTATGCACTCTCCCTGCCGCGAGTGGATTTTGTGCAACAATCCTGGATTATAGGTTTCTCTCACACACCGGTAAGTCAAACAATTATTTAAGGTAATTGCATCGCTGCTTTCGCGGTGCATGGTTTCAACGGAAAAAATCTTTTGATAATTTTTTCATTTTTCAAAGAAACTTAAACAGACTACTGTAATGCTTTTTATAAAACTTCTGCTAGGAGGAATCCAGCCGTTTTATAAAAAGTAAAATCTTTTGATTTTTAAAAGACTTTAGTTTTGTTCATAAGGGTCCCAAAACTATACGCTGGTTACTGGAACTTTTTATAATTGTTTCCAACTGCTTTTTTTCAAGCATGAGGCTATAATTTTGTGATACTTTCTGTGTCATTTTGTTCCGAAATAAATATTGGTGTTATTTCTAACGTGAGGTGAGTAGCCAGGACCAGCAATTTCTAAAACTGTTAGAGAAAGTGAATATGAAATTGTTATATGCAAAATATCGGGAAAGTTCCGTTACAAGAGGAAATTGACTAAAATTTATAGAAAAAATTATTTTATTAGGTGTAGAAAGTGCCCACCATTATCTAACAATAAGCAGGGTATGCTCACTAATTGGCCGTATCTGATTCTAAATTTTGTGGTTTTTATGGGGATCAGCAGAATCGCCTGCACGATCTGCAGACATTACTCCACTGGATTTTTTCTTCCGATGATATTTAAAATCCAAAGTGTATAGGGAACAATGTTGCCTAATATTCCTGTATATTTTCTGTTTACTGCGTGAAAAAAATATGGCGAACTGAGCGTGTGATTGGGGAAAAACATAGATACATTCCTTAAGGATCATCCGAAAAGACTGTAAAGATTCCATCACGGCATGGGGTTGTATGTAGAGCAGTATTTTCATTTTTATTGGTCAGAACTTAACATTGTTGTGAATACGATACGAGCAGCTTACAAGAGTATCCGAAGAAGATTAAGCAATTACAGCGGTCGCACCTATCGAAACGAAACGTCCCGGGTATACGGCTATACCGGTTGCGGAAAGGCAAATAACATTTATTTAGATGTTTATGTTTCGATAACATTAAACGCAGCCAGTCTCAAAAACCATTAAACCTGTTGCACGGGCAATTTATTTCGTCAGGAACCTCCGTTCTGAGGCTGCATTCATACCGTCACAGTCAATCGCGATTTTTATTATACACGTTAATTATAGCGGTACGCGTATAGAACAATGCCTCCACAAGATGATTTACGGTAGATGGAAGCTTGGGACGTTTATGGTGAACGAGAGAGGTAGGACCCTTCTTAGAATATACAGGGTGTTCGGAAATAAAGTTCAGAAACTTAGAATATTTTAGAAGTTGCAGCTTGTCAAAATTCTTTCTTTTAATTTTATTTTAACTCATTGGACTTTATTTTCAATGGAATTAGCTGATATTTTACATACGCGTTTCAGAAATCTGTGACTAGAGGGCACTTTATCTATAACATTTTTTTTATTTTCACTGTATTTTATTTATTTGTCTTAAGCAGAATCACAAATCCTCAAAAATTGTTAATCTCGTTTTGACTCGGCTCGAATTTTGCAAGCAAATGTGATTTTATCTAAAAGGACTTAATGAAATTTGAAAAAGTCGTTTCTATCAAAAGAGCTTATTATTCAACTGCTACTATCGCGATATGCTTTTTTGCTACGGAAGAGCAAATGGAAATGCAGATTAAGGGCGACGTCTTTATATCGCAATAGAAACATTCATTCAAAACTGATAATATTAATAAAGGGAGACCAAGATATAAAAGAACCCGCTGCAAGAGAAGAAAGAATATTTTAAAATGTGGAGGCTGTGTACTTTGGCAAATAAACTTTAAAAATGAATTTTCTACTTTTGCATATCAATGATAAAATCTGCAACTCCAAAAAATAATACTTTGCGTTTACGTTTGTTTAAACGTTAAATCAGTATCCAGACCAACTGAGTTTTTATTTTTTACTGCTGTTAAGATGATTGATTGTACAGGCCAACAAAGATTTTGTGGTTGGTGTGCAGCCCATAATTCCCGTATGGTTAGGGGGGATTTGGGAAATACTTTCAACTGGAACATTATTGGGCCAAGTTTCTGTACCGTCACTTGAAAGGGGTTTGACAAGATTTCCCATGTTAGAAATTTTAATTATATGATCGCTTAGTATATTGTTTGATTGTTAATGGAGGGTTGTTTGAGCCTAAACTATTCAAAATACACATTTCTAACTTTTATATTATTTTAATAGTTTTTCACTCCAGCTATACAGGACATGGATCATTCTGTAAAAAGCCATAAAATGGTATAACAATTTATTACATAAATATTAAATAGAAAATACAACATTTTCTAATTGTATGCATATGCCTTTGCATAAAAAACTGTCTTCAAAACTTCTATAGTAACATATAAATATTAAAAAATATATAAAAAAGATAATTACTTAATTTGATGGCCAAAAATTGTAAAACTTTGTTTGCTGAAATTTCCTTAAAAATGTTAAGGCGTCATACAGGTTTGACTTGGGTATTATTGTTATTCTACAGTAATAGTATTATATTTTATTATTAATTTTTTTAACAATACACCGAAAAAATGTTATTTTTATTTTGTTAATCATATAATAATTTCCTTTTTTCGGTAGACTTATCCTTTAAATTCGACAGGAACGAGGTCCTCAACAAAAAAATTGCCTGAATCTTATTTTCCTGTAGATTTACGCATAAATTATTCAAATTATTGCAGAATTTAAAAATAGGAAAAAGAACAAGGAATTTGGTTCTGAAGTTCGCCATCAGTTTCTTACATGGCAGTAGATGGCGCTGGCGATGCTGTTTCTATTCTCCAAAAGTAAAGTTACCAATATAATATTTGTCTATGCTTTTGCTTGTCTAAATAAATCAAGCGAGGCTTTGATCTTCTTGCAAACGAACCCTGCTTTAGTGGTCTGTGTTGATATTTTAAAAATAAATAATAGAAACATTGAGGATTTGAAAAGTAATACCGGACTTAGATTTTGCAACTTCGAAAAACTTCTTATCTTCGGAAAACGAGGTTTGTGAAACTGGCAACCCATTTAGCGAGCTGATATTAATTTTGCGGATTCTTCGGCCTCACGATCTCATAGATCGACGGCGTTGTTCTCTGTAGATATCGATTATACGGTCAAGAGCCCCTCAACCTAGTAGGAGACATTGACTTTGCTTGGCATAATTGCCCGTTTGTTGCGCAGTTTCTTGTCAAAGCTCGTATTCAGAGAGACATTCCTTCGTTTCTATGCTGCTACGGCAATAAACTATACAAAAAATTTGTTGTTCGGATATAACATTTCTTTCATCTGAATCACACGTTTTAGATTCTATTGAAAACAAAATGTCCCTAGTTCGTGTTTTAATTGAGTTTTAAACAGGGTCGATGGAGCATTAGATGTTTTAGAAAAAAAGTGTAATTACACAAGTCTGGCTTACAGCTATTCATATTTCACCACTCAGCATAGTTACTAACCAGATTGGTTTCGAAAAATAGTTACTAGGCGGGGCACGTTCGTAGCGCGTCACAAGGGAACTTTCGCAAAATCGGTATAAATTAATTGTGCATGCACCCCGTATAAAGTGTCTTTCAAGTCTCGCCGGACCTCAAAGTTACGGCAAACTTTGTTAAATATTAAAATTTGTACAAATAATGTCGTCGCTCGCCCTGTATATTTGACGAAACCTAAAACTCTCTCTCGACATAGTTTACAATACTGTTCAAATAAAATTACCCCATCTTCAACGGTTTTTCATTTATCGCCAATAATTTACACACATAAACGGAAACGACACACCCTGTATTTAATTCAACACAAAAATTGTAGCTCTCGATGTGGCCTATAACACTGTTTATACCAATTAGCCATACTTTTCACTTGTGATTTAATAGCGAAAAGAAAAATTTTCAGGGTCTTTTAGATTTTTGTCTATAATTGAAAAACCCTGCATATAATGGAAAAAATGCCGGAAATAAAAATTTTTCAAAACAAAAAAATATATCCATAAAATTGCTGTTGGGAAAATAATCAGTGATAAGAAACGCAGAAAAAGAAATACAGTTATACGGTTTTGAAAAACATACCTAAGGCCGTCGTTGAACATTTTCGTGAATGTACAGGGTGGTCCATTAAAGACGCTCCTGTACCTTATCTCAATAAGTACGACGCTTAGTATTTTAAAAAAGTTCTAATTATCCCCTTGATTTTCGGTATTTTTTGTCATTAAGTTGCGTACGGAATTTTCAGTAATTCTTGAGAAAAATGAAATTTTCCTTTTTTTTTCGAAAAAACAGGTCTCTGTAAAAATGTATTTTGTTACACATGAAAACTAAAATTAGGAAATTGTATTATAGTTAATATTTAATGGTTTGACGAAAATATATACACAGATGGCCAGATGGAAAATATATTACAAGGTTTTTTTTTCAAATATTAAAAGAAAAAAATTCTAAATTAATTTATTTTTTTTATTCCGTAGAAAAGGGGAATCCTAGTTTAAAAAAAGTGAAAAAAAATTACTCAGACTTTTTTGAGTGAAATCTTCGTCTTTTCGCCAGGAAGCTGCGTTGTCGGCAAATGCACTTTCAAACTCATATTACAACCTAGACGATGAAAGTGTTGTAACATATTGACATCGACATTGGTCATTCTTTTATCTTCCCATCAGATATGGGTGGAAATTTCTAGCACAAATATTTAAAATGCTGTTTTATCTAGAGCTGTAATAAAGTGCTTCATCAAGTCAAGTTTGATATGAAGAGGAAGCAGTAAAACTAAGCATACGTCTTAATACATTTATACATATAGTAATTTTGAAACTAAGTAAGGAATATTGTTGCAATACACTAGTAAAATTTTGACATAACTCTTTTTCACGATCCCGTTAAAAGCTTGATGTGACCCAGGTGCCAGTAAATGCTTGTCACGATGTCTGGAGGCTAACAATTCGGATTTTTTAAACATTTCGGGCTCTCTGAAATCTCTGAGTCATCTGGGTCGGAACTTGATTGATCTG